TGAGCTACCTCTGAACAAGTTAACGTGCATTCTGGAAGTGCTACATAGCTGTATTGGTGCACCACTTCTAATTAATGTGGCTGTATATTGCTTCCCATTCCTGAACTTGCTTATTTCTCTCTCCATGGAGATCACCATACAGGTTTCCCTCGCCAGTCACGGTTTTGAGTATCCACGCTTAGTCAAAATGGTGTACAGAATATTATCACAGTATACAGTTTTGAGTAGCTATGGTTTTCCGTGGCCACACATCAGCCTGCCACCTGCCATTTTTCCCATAAGCCTTTTGTCGTGCCAGCCACAGGAACTTTCAGGAACCTAACCCTAGCGGTTAGCGAGGGAAACCTGTACATTGTGCCATATAGATGTACTCTTAGTATGCCAGTGTTCTTAACTCTACTTGTTTGATGGTCATAGCTGATGCAGTATGTGGATGTGATTCTAAATCTGCTACTACTTTTGAATTAAAGATCCTTGCAGCCCTGGTTGAAGTCTACAAGCATGCTAACCACATGGGGGGGCCCAGTGTCTCCCCGCTTCCATTTTCCAGTTTTCATCAAAATTTGATAGAATTCTACCCCGATGCTTAGAACATCTGTAGAAATTTTGGAATCGTTTGGGTACAGCATTCAAAATTTTCTTGTTAAATGCAGATAGACAAGCTATGAAATTGCATCAGGTTGGCTGGAACAAGTCAAGTTCTTCATTAAATTTTATCGAATTCTAGACAAGCTTTATTTTGGTAATGATTGCCCAGAAACTTCTAGCTTGGGGGTGGGCAATTATTTGGGCCCAGGGGCCACAATAGGGTGTTTTGATGAGTTGTTGGAGGCTGGATCAGCAACCCATCTCCCTTCCCCTCAACAATAACTTGCCAGAACTCCCTATGTGGGATGGGGGTGGGTGGGTGGGGAGCAGGGAAGGTGGGTGAGGCCAGGATCATGGTAAAGGGCAGTGACAGCACAAGGCCTGGGCCAGAGCCATGATCCCACTACCCACATGCCCCTGTGACTGGCATGGGTTCCACGGGCAGGGGCCTGTAGGGAGTGAATAACAGTTCTGCCCTAGGCCCAGGCCTGCGTTGCCACTGCCCCAAGATCCAGGCCCAGATGCAGCTTCCTGCCCACCCCCCCAGCTGTGCACCCTGCTTGTGCAGCTCCAGGCCAGTCTCCACAGGGACCCCAGGATCTCAGGATGGGGACAGCATGTGGCTGGAGCTGGGACAGACCCCAGTTCTGCAGGCAGGGATGTGTGGGTCTGGGGCAGTGTGTGATCCATTCCCTGCATGCCCCTGCCAGGTGTTGGGGAAGGGGAAGAGGCATTGCCTGGGCATTAGGTCCTGGGAGCTAGCTGGGGAGGTAGGGGAAGGGAAGAGCCCTGGGGTCTATGCAGCAGAGGTTGCCTGGGCGATGTAGCCCGCAACTGCCCCCACAACACTCCGCATGGGGCTGAGCCTCCCATGCTTCTGCCCAGGTGGTGCAGCCTGCATTGCTCTCCCAGCCAGTATGCACATTTAACCAGCAGGGCTGTTTCTGATGCAGCTGCAGCCGCCCAGGTGCTGCTCTGCTCCTTTCATCCCTACCCCTGCCATGCTACTCTTAAGTGGGGAGGAGTCTTCAGCTAGGCGGCTCCTGCCCCAGGGCATGGGGCTCAGGCTCCCAGCTGCCTTCCACACACACTGCCTGGCCTTTGAAAATTCTCTCCTAAAAATAGTAGGTGTTAAGACTGAAGTGGGGTGGAGAGGAAGCTTTCACTCTGAATATAGCTTTTCTGGTTGTAATGAAAAAGATCCCTATATAAAGGAACAGGTGTATGCATCAGCATATGTTCATTAGCATCAACTAAGGAGTGCCAGTTTACACTATCAGAAGCTCTGATACATAAGTTCTGGAGTGGTACAGCTTGCTTAAACCCAAATACCAAACATTCAGTGTCACAACCTGTCTACAGTTGTTGGTACAAATGTATTTTAAAAATGACATCTGGAAAAACTCACTTATGTTTGAATCTGTAAACCAAACTATGCCTATTAATTTGCTTTTTCTAGGTATCTACTAAATTTTGGTACTGTGAGTTACTATCTTGGTTACAATGCAATGCAGGATTTCTTTCCCACTATGGCAATGAAGCCAAACCCACAGTGCAGCGACAAAAATTGCAGGACACAGCAGGAAATATATAAGGTAAAACTCTTATATTTTGGAAGGATTTTTATTAAAAAGCTTAATGCATGCTAAATATCTAATCAAATGCTGAAAACTGGTAATGTTAGTTTCTTTTTTCATAATGCACATTCTGCAAACAGTTTCAGGTCATGTCAAGTAAGCTTGGCAAACCTTAGTCCCCAAAACAATTTTTCTCTGCAATCAATTAGGTCTTGGGTTTGCAAAGCAACTCTATCCTAAATTTTGTTTCTAAAGATGTTAACTTTTTTTAATTAAAATTCTGCTTATAGTTACCTATTTTCTTTTTAAACAAAAAATAAGCACAATCACTATTGGAGCTCGAATTCATACTCGCAAAAGTTAACTTTGGTCTTCCCTGATACTTCTATGAGTTCTACTCTCTCATGCATACTATGGCTCCTTTCACCCATAATCGAAGGGCATAGATACTGAATCTTCAAAGCAGTATTTTCTCCGAAGTAAAAAGGAGAGTCCATTTTTTTTTAAATCCGTAAACATTTCCTAAATGTCCATAAAGTAGTAGCCCATTTAAATAATATTGTTAGCTTGCTTTAGCACTCCTTTTTCTCAACTGCTTAACAAAAATAGCAACTGCAAATTCATGGGTCTCTCTCTTTCTTTCATCTCTTCAGAAAAAAGAAGCTGCACAACCAAAACAAGTAGTAATTGAACAGGAAGAAGAAATAGTACATGAAGACAATGACTGGGGTAAGAGATTGACTTGAAATCAAATGGACACTGGCAGTGTCAGCCTTCAGTTAAAATCCTCAAATCTGAACACCATGGGTTTCTCAGTGGGGTTTTTGTTTCAAGTTTTTAAATAATTTTTACCACACTTTCTGCTTAAGTATTAATCCTAAGGCTCTTGTTTTGATATACCTGAACCTGCTTCACCTTTTGGTTCTCCAACACTGAGCTTTTCTGTTCAGAATTGCAGAAGAATGTTAATTTTTTTTTTTTTTGCATTTTTCTTTTAAACTTTTGAAAATATTAATTAGATTTTATACCTTTAGAGGAAAAACGTCTTGTATTTAAATTTACCTGGGTGTCTGTCCCTTCTTTAAAGGATGAGCATGAATGATCAATGAGCATCCATTAACTCCCTCTCAGTACCTCACTAAGGACACCTCAGATAAATTTTTATTTCCCTCAAGGGCTGGATTTAAGAGCATTGCTATGCTGAAACCAAAAGCACATTTCATCAAAGAATGCTTTGAAATTGTTACTTTCTAAGTATTATACTTTTAATGAAGGAAAATGTAAGCTTGCAATCAGGTTAAGTGTCCTTAAACTGAAGATTTAAAACATGAAAAAGGGTATCGGGTAGGGCAGTGGTTTTCAAACTTGTTTGGCCACATACTACTTAGGAGCAGCAGTATTTTGCAGATATATCTTGTACACCCAATATGTCTGCATACACACTATCTGTGTATGGCAAAGCCATTCATTGCTCACTATGCATTGACCAATTAGAAGCTTCACCATCATTATTAACATTTAGGCATATGCCCCTTGACAAAGCAGTGTGTACCCCCATGGGGTATGCTACCCCTATTTTGAAAACCATTGCAGGGAAGGCTTAAGTTCTATTCCTTGTGCTTTTTAAAATACATTGTAGGAAAAAATCTTGCAGTGACAAACTTGCTCCATTCTCCCCTCAGCATCATCTTTCTGGGCAAGCTGCTAAACTATGTATTTCAAGAGACTGATTGCTGCAGTTTTTGTCTAATAGTACTGACTTGGTCCTTTAATTAGAACATTTGCTATTATAGTTGCCCATTTAACTTCTTTTTACTACTTAGGCATTGAGTTGGTATCAGAGGTTTCAGAAGAGGAACTGCAAGCTGCTTCTGGTCCAATCCCCAATCTTCCAGAGGGAATTACTGTAGCATATACCATACCTAGTAAGGTAATGTTGGCTGTCCTATTTTATACCACTTTTTGTACAATAAAAATCTTCTGAAACATAAAACTAGCTTCAAATTATTCCAAGGACCCTGAGAATTTTTTGATCAATTTGTGTTGAAGTTTAAACAGGAATTTTCCAGATTTTTTTTTATATTCCAAACACCTTTTTCATAATATTTTTTCTATTAAAAGGAAGATGGCAGTCAGACTGCAAGCAAATTCAGGATTGAATTTAATACTAGTATTTATCAGTTTTATCTTAAATCCTAATTGGAATAGTAGTCCATTGATGAACTCTAATCAGCCACACAACTGTGAACAATTTTAGGTTTAATCTTCCAATTTGTACTCTGAAATCCTTGGATCCTTTGTTCTGGAAAAAAACCAAGATACAAACAAACTAAACCTCATTTTATTTTTTTCCCCTCTTGCCAATAGGAAGAGAATGCTGCAGCTGAGGAAACGGTGGCAGAATCTGAGGAAAGCCTAGAAGAACTCATGGCCAAAATGAAGAACATATAGATAAAGGGAATATCAAATTGGATGTTTTGGACCGTGTGAGAGATCAAGAAATATTGCAAGATATATTTGAGGAAATTAAACTCCTATGAGAACAGTTTTAAAACTTGAATTTATGGTAAAAGTGCTGTCTTACTGACAAAGATAACGCTATCTCAGTTTTCTATATTTACATTCTACTGTCTACTTGCGTTTGATGTTAAGAGTTGTACTCTTATTAGCTGTTATGTCTCAGCAGTGTCAGAATCCAGATCCACAACAGAAAATTAAAGGTGGTAGACGAACTGACAAAAATAACGTTAAGTATAGTACCCATAAAAATATACTTTGCTACCTGGAGATGGAGTAACCTTGGGTAAATCAAGTGACAGGACAGATAAGTCTGTCATGTTGCCAAGTTCAAATCCAAGTCCAATAAGTCATAGTGGTAAATGTCCAGCTGGCTGCTGTTTAATGACCTGTATGGTCTCTGTTCTCATTATGACTTTACTGTACATGTTTTTGAGCCTTAAATTTTACTTAAAAAATTTGAAGGATAGAGTATCCATCTCCTGGGTTTTGTCAGTTTGTATTATATCCTCATTTATTCTAAAACATGTACACTTTCTGTGTTTGAGAGTGTGCTTTAAGCATGTGTTTGTTTGGTAAGTTTGTTGTTAGGTTCCTGACCTAACAGACCAAAACAAATGTCTTATTTGGTCATAACTACAGCTGACAGCCATATGTTTACATGTTAAATCCTTGTGATTAGTCGCTAAAAGAAACTTTGCACAGGAACAGTCAAAACTCTCTTCTGTTACCCTATAAAAGTTAATTTGTTCTAACAGTAGTTTATTTTAGAATAATACCTAACCCAAGCTTGTATATGCAAAACTTGATTCTAAACCCAGTTAACAGGATCCAACTTTAAGGCTGCAAGTCACTCAGTTTAAGACGCTACTTATTTTACAAATAATGCAAAGTTAATATAGTACAATAATTTTGAACTATCATGTCTTGAATAGCAAATTGGTGCTAATTACCCTTCATGTCTGCATGTTCGATAGTGTTGGTACTGTTCTGCAAGTTAAAATCAGTGCTGAAGTACCACTCCTATAAATTGTCTCTTAAGCATTAATAGGATGCAGTATTTGAATCTAAATACATGTTCCTCCTTGCAGTGAATACAAAGAGGCAAGTTGTAAACTTCAAAACCTGTTTTCCTTTATAAATTACAATATGTTAAGGTAACTTGTTAGCAGGCCCTTTTGAAAACAATAGGTTTTTGTTAGCTCTGTGTATAACTGGAAGATGAAATTAGCTTGCATTTCCTTTAGGAAAGGCCAAAATCAAAACTGAGAAGTGGCTGCTGGAGTGGGGGGGAAGGGATCACACATGTACAGGGCTTTTGTCTTTAGCATCAAGTATGTGCCCAGTTCTCACTCTTAAAGCTAATTTGCAGCAAGATTCTTAACTGTATCTGCCAAAAGGAAATGGGAATGATTTGGTCAGCATTCAGCTGCTATCCACATGGCTGACACCTCTATACAGGCCAAATATTAAGTTATATCACATATACAGTTTTATGAAGTAACTGATTAATACACAACAAGTGACTCATTATTTATTCAGTATACATAAGAGGTAAATGTATTAACAGAAACAGTTTTATTTGCCTCTTTCAAATTGCAAAGATATTAGGTAGGATCATAATGTTTAAAAGACATTTTGAAGGGAATTGCATACCAGTATTTAAAACTAATTAAAATGTATGTCTTTGATTCTATTTTGATGTGCAATGGAACTTTTTTTTTTAACCTTTGCAATTTCTTTAAAAAAATTAACGTACTAGTATAGTAGAATCACACACTTCCATTAAGTGGGAAGATTTTAATGGACATTTCAGATTTTTTCTCTCTCCCCCCTGGCAACTTAATATGTTGGACAAAGTAAGAATATACAGATTTTAGTCTTATTTTATTAATTTATTTAAGGTACAAAATATAATATCAAGTGCTACAACTTTAACAGTAAATCTGAGAAATGAGATCTTGCTATAGAACTGTCCTATTAAATTAGCGCTGATACACTGAGATCATCTGTGTTGATGTGGAGCTCTCCAGCACACAAGTGTTACAATATTTAATAAATTACATCAATTTTGGTTCTCATCTGATATACAGTTCTTCTCATTTTATGCACATGATGCACAAACTACATTTGCTGTAGCTAATTTGCCTAAGGGTGGATTATCCATCTCTAGAAAAGTAACACTGCAATTAAATCTTGTTAACACAGTCATACAATGATATCAGATTGGAGTGTATTCAGAGAGGAATGGTGACAGCTAAAAGTTTGGGAATTCAATCCATGGAAAAGCTTTTAAAATGGCACTGTAGTTCTTAAGAAAAAGAAAAAAGAAATGAAAAAGTGAAAAGCCTGTTTAAAAATGTCAAACCAAGAACAAAACTTTCAGAGGAGAAAGATAGACCATGCATGACAATTTAATACCTAATAAGTATTCTACCCAAAGACATGATTATACAGGGACTAAGGAGGAAGATAATTTTAGGCTGTGGTTGTGGAAAAACAGGTTTTTTGGGGGGGGAGGGGGGGTTATATTAGAAAAGTCTTCTAAAGAAATTGGTCAAAAATATATAAAGAAATACAAGTGTGGTAAAAAAAATCCTGCTTTGATAGCAAAGACATATGAAATATAACATCACAATTTTTATTAGAGATGCTGCAATAACCTAAGGCAGACAAGGTTCCTTGGGTGAATTTGATAGCTTTTATTAGACCAACCCACATGGTTGGAGAATAGTTATTATGCAAGCTTTCGGGTTCAAAAACCCTTCGTCAGGCTAAGGAAGTATCAGCAGTTGGTATGTGCTCTTCCTGGATGGAATGGCTGGGCCCTGCCCCTGGCTTCTTTACTTTTCATTCCATCCAGGAAGAGCACACACCAACTGCTGAAACTTCCTTAGCCTGACAAAGGGTTTTTGAACTCGAAAGCTTGCTTAATAACTATTCTCCGACTATTTGGGTTGGTCTAATAAAAGATATCAAATTCACCCAAGGAACCTTGTCTGCCTATGTCCTTAGACTAACACGGCTACAACCTAAACCCCTGCAATAACCTAACACTTTTGAGGTTTCCAACTAAATCTTAATCAGTTATGGCAGTTTTGATATCATACACTCATTTGCAGTTGCTTAAAATTGTCTTTCCCAAGTTATATCCTACCCTAAATAGCATGTTCTTTCTAGTTAGAACCAGGGCTGAAGGAAGTTTAACTAAACTTTAGTGCTTATTTTAAAGGGAAAAGTGTATTTTTGGAAAAGACAGTATCCTTCTTGGATATCAGTCTCTGCTACTTAAATTTAGGAGAACACACAGATTATGACTTTGTGAAACATAATACTGATGCTTCAAAGGATTCCAATAATCACCAAAAAGTGCATATCTTTTAAAAAAATAAATAAGTCCATTTAATTTACTGTATTTATTTATAAATAAGCAGGAAGAGACTTTAAAATGATCTGTGAAGGTATCTGGCTTAGAAGGATGCACACAAACACAGGATTATTAATTTACTGCTGTTCACTGGGCATAAAATATGCCCTAATTCTCTTGCTGATTAATACAAACATATTCAAATACTGGAGGCTGTAGTGTGAGCAGTTTTATTAAACTGACTTAAATATTTATCTACAATTAACTCTTCATCGTCTCTGTAGTTTCTCACTGAAAATAACTGGATGTTACATTTAAAAAATTCACAGGGCTAACTTAGTGTTCCCAGTAACTATCTTAGAAAAAGAAACTCAGAAGGATTTCGTACCAGGAAACCTATTTCCTCAAAGCCAAAATATCAACAAATGATGCTTTGCATTCTCCTCTAGGCAAAAATGACTTGCAACATTACTGCATCTAGAACAATTTAAACTGCTCCTGAAGAGGTAGAAAGCAACAGTAATAAAACTGCATAAATGCTGAAGTGTGGAAATACGAAGAGACTACTGTTATCTACAACTAGTACCTGTTTTATTGACTGCACCCTGCAACTTGCAGTAAGAGGTATTAATGTCATGTATTTTCTGGCATCAGCCACAGTTTGAATAAGCAAGACTATGGACAAGCATTCATTTTTACCATTGCAAATTTCTGGGAAACAAGAGGGGAGAACATGGGTGTTCCAGCTTGCAGCTGCCACATCTCCTCCTCCCTTTGCTTTCCCCAGCATGGTTAAAGGGTGCTGCTCTGTTCCTCCCGGTCCCTGGGGAAGACTGGAGTAGCCTCCACTCCCCACACATTACCTGAATTGGGGTGACATCAAGCTCAGGAAGGGGCAGGGAGCTTTTCCCTGCCACTCCACTCCTCCATGGCCTTGAGAGGAGTGGAGCAGCAGCTGTTCCCCAGACTGGGTTCAGCCAGGCCTGGGGAACGCATAGGGAACCTCTCCCTGGCTCCACTCTCAGTCTCCAGGAGTGGAACAGCCAAAGCATACAGGCACTCATTCCTGCGCCAGAAACTCTTGCAGAGGCAAGAATTTCCTTACTGAAAGAAGCTCTTTCTACCAGATAGAGCCTGTTACCTGCAGGTGAAACTGCAAAACTGCCTGCATGGTCCCCATTTCTAGCTGGAGACGAGCATTTCTGCCACTAGGGATGTAGCTACTGTCTAAGCCTAAAGCTATGTCTACACAGTCACCCAAGTGAGCCCAGGACCACAACAGAGAAATAAACCCTATTCATGCCCAAACCCACAAATTAAGTAATAAAGATGGCTCTGGAGAGCATCGGAGTGATTTGGACCAGCCCTGAATATCACCCTGAGCAAAGTGTTGGGTATCAGGACACAGTTTGGGCCTCTGGTGTGTGCCCTGGATCTGCCTATACTGCCTAATTTTTTAGTTTGGGGATATGCAGACACTTAATCTAACAACAAGCAACACAAATGGCATATGTGTAACAGAAGATACCAACTCCATATAGAATGGTCCACAAAAATAGCATGAATGAAGATAACTTCAATTAAACCTTTTGTTCATATTATCAGTCAGCATGATAGTTCTTACAAAACAACACCTTCATCTCCAAAGGCTGCTTAAACTAATTTTGATTCCCTCATTATTTAGAGGTTGTCTCTTAGTATTCAGTTCCTTTTTGTGCCTTTTTGCATCACCTCTGTCCATGTTCTAGGAAAACATTTGGTGATAACGCACTTTTTAAACTGAATGCGTCTCCACTGGATGAGTGTCGGGATGGAGTTTTTCCTCCTATCAACGAAGTCTCTGCTTCTTTTATTTCCATGGCTCTCTTGTACAGTTCAGCTGCTTTCTCAAAATCTCCACCTTCATAACTTTGGTAGAGAAAAAGTAAAGTCAAATTTGATTAAAACATCCCATGCTAACTCAATCCTGTAGAAGTTTACAAGTCACATACAATTCATTCAAATTACCAACAATAAATGTTAGCCTCCACATTTTCTACTAAATACACTGATGCTACACTTGATCTGAGCCTGCAAGTGATTAGCCTACACGTGATCTTAGCCCACAAAAGGCTGAAAAGCGTGTGCTCAAACCAGCCATTTGTTTATTTAAGAGTGGTTTGCCTTGTTGAGAGAACATGGCGAGAGCTACATGCTTACCTTAGCACAGCTAAGTTTTTTAGCGTTTCTCCCACACGAGGATGCATACGACCGAAGCTGTCTTCGTAAATCTTTAATGCACGCTCATACAGAGGTAAGGCTTCAGTTCGCTTTTTCTTTTGGTAAGAGAATGGGAAGAGAAGACTAAATTAAAAATTGGTTATTTAAATGGGTATATTACACTTACTGCCTTGCTTTTACAAATATTAGAGACATTCCTCATCTTTTAATTTCAAAACTCAGCTCAAATGAGTATATGTTGCATGTCTAGGTTTTAGATAAGATTCTTAAGACATTACAGATATTTAAAGTAAGGTTACAGACCCCTGCCCAGCACGTGGAAGGCAATATAATGTCAAAGCAAAGTATAATCTGCTAAAAGTTTACTGCTCTGGAGACTAAGGAATGAAGTTGATAACATTTCTCTTTAACTTATTTTACGTTTGTCTACAAGTGCAGCTTTATCAGACCTCAAACACTATACAGATCCACACTTGTTCAACACTGCTCCAAAGATGAGCACCATCATAGCTGTATGTAGTGCTCTGTCTGAGACTGTATTACACCAGTGCTCGCACATGATGCTCCGACACCATGCTGCTAAAGATGCCTTTTACGTTTAGTTTAAACCAAAAGGTCCTGATTATGGGATATTTCTATGATTCCAAATAAAATTAAAATAAATTAATCAATTAAAAATAAAAAAATAAATAAATCACATTTTGCTTACTTTAGTTTCCTCTGCTAAGTAAGCTCTTTCAGTTACTCTAAATGGAAATTCTATAAGGATTTTTTTAAATGGAGTTAAATGTCTTTGATATCTAAAACTGTTGAAATATTGAACTATGAAACAAATGCATATGACAGAAAAAAACCTACCATCTGACAATAAAGGACAGCTAGGTTTACCAAGGCAGTAGCTACACTAGGGTGCTTTGGACCAAATGACTTCTGCCGGATTTCAACAGTCAACTCGTATAGAGGTACAGCCTTGTCAAGTTTTCCCTGGAAAATAAATCAGTAGAGTGATACAGCCATTTGATTACAGCCAACATAGATTTCATAGACATTAGGGCTGGAAGGGACCTTGGAAGAACTTCCAGTCCAGCCCCTTACCCCAGGGACAAGAAGTCAGCAGGGGTCATAGGATCCTAGCAAGATAAACATCCGCCTTTCTCTTGAAGGTGTTCAAAGTAGGTGCTTGAACCACCTCTGGCGGCACAGACCTTGGGGGCTTGGACAGTAAAGTTCTTCCTTATGTCCAGCCTGAAACGGTCTTGGAGGAGTTTATGATCGTTCGCCCTTGTCATCCCTTGGGGCGCTCTGGTGAACAAACATTCCCCAGATCCTGTTAAGCGCCCCTGATAAACTTTTAGGCAGCCATCAGATCACCCCTGAGCCTGTACTTTTCTAGGCTGAAGAGTCCCATAGCTCTCAGCCTCTCATCATGAGGCGTGTTTTCCTGCCCTCTGATCATGTGCATGGCTCGCTGGACTCTCAAGCTTCTCCACATCCTTTTTGAATTGTGGAACCCAAAACTGGATGCAGTACTCCAGCTGTGGCCTCACCAAGGCCAAGTACAACGGAAGAATGACGTCCTGGGATTTGTTTGAGAAGCATCTATGGATGCAAGCCAGTGTTTTGCTCACTTTACTAGCCGCAGCATCGCATTGAAGGCTCATGTTCATCTTGTGGTCAATCATGACCCCCAAGTCCCTTCTGTCTGTAGTGCTAGCCAGGGTAGCACTGCCGAGCCAAAAGCATGCTGCGTGTTTTTCTTCCCAAGGTGGAGAACCTTGCATTTTTCAGTGTTAAACACCATCAGGTTCTCATCCGCTCATTTTCTGAGCCTGTCAAAGTCCGCCTTGATCGCCCTCCTGTCCTCAGGTGTGGATGCTTTACCCCAAAGTTTGGTGTCGTCAGCAAACTTGGCCAATCCGCTTCTGACTCCAATGTCCACATCATTAATGAAGATGTTGAATAATATAGGTCCAAGTACAGAGCCTCAAGGGACCCCACTGATCACAGTGCACCACAACGATTGACTTCCGTCAACTACCACCCTCTGGGCCACAGTTGGCCAGTTTTGCCAAGAGGTGATCATGGGATACCAGATCGAAGGCTTTTTTAAAGTCAAGATATATGACATCAATCTCTTCTCCCTTGTCCAGGTGATAGGTCACCTGGTCGTAAAAGGAAATAAGATTGGTCGAGCAAAACCTACCCACAACAAACCCGTGCTGGCTATCCCTCAGGATGTTGCTATCAGCCAGCCTGTTAAGAGTCGTTTCTTCGATAATCTTTTCTAAGACCTTCCCCAGGATAGAGGTCAGGCTGATGGGCCTGTAGTTTGCCGGATCCACTTTCCTCCCTTTCTTGAAGATAGGCACCACATTGGCTTTCTTCCAATCTTTGGGCACTACACCAGAGTGCCAGGAGTTCTCGAAGATCCGTGCCAGGGGCTGGGTTATGATGCTTGCCAGCTCCTTGAGTACCCTTGGGTGTAAACTGTCAGGGCCGTCAGGGCGTCCCATGGGACTGGTGAAAAACTGACACAAAGTACCCATTTAGCCAGTTTGCTGTTTCCTGGGTATCGGTTGGCAGTTCTCCCATCTGCGGGCATCCCATGGGGCTGGTGAAAGACCAATTCAAAGTTTGCTTTTTACCCATTTAGCAAGTTTGCTTTTTCCTGGGCGTCAGTTGTCAGCTGTTCCATCTGGTTTAGCAGGGGTCCAGTGTTGCCCTTGCTTTTCCTCTGGCTCTCCACATATCTAAAAAGACTTTTTATTGTCCTTGATACTTGTAGCCAGTTGGAGTTCCGTAACAACCTTAGCTTTCCTGGTTCACTCTCTGCAGGTCCGGACCAGTGCAGAATTTTCCTCCTTGGATGTGGATTCCGTCCTCCAACCTTTGTAGTTCTTTTTAGACGCAGGAGGTCTGCTATTTCCCTGCTGAGCCAAGGGGGGCTGCTGTGCCCTTTTGTTGCCTTTCCTCCAAGATGGAATAGACTTAGCTTGTACACCCAGTATTGCTCCCTTGAGTAGCAACCACTCTTCCTGAACTCCCCTCCCCTTTAGGTCATGGTCCCTTAGGGCCTCACTGACAGGCCTCCTGAGCTTGTCAAAGTCAGCTTTCCTGAAGTTGAGAACTTCTGTATTGCTGACTGACTTGCCCGCTTTACAGCAGATGGTGAAGGTGATCAGCTCGTGGTCACTGTCACTCAGGTTCCCTTTGATAGTTAGGTCGCTGATTAGGTCGTCCCCAGTTGCCAGTACCAGGTCGAGCAGCACTTTACCTCTTGTTGGCCCGTAGACTTCTTGTGTCAGATAGAGCTTATCCACACACGTGAGGAAGCTTTGCAACCATTCAGATTTGGACGAGCGCTCTTCCCACGAGATGTTTGGGTAGTTGAAGTCTCCCATGACAACCATGCACTGGAAGCATGTGGCTTCAGCCAATTCCCTAGTGAACTCCTGGTCAAGCTCTTGATTCTGGGTGGGAGGTCTGTAGTAGACTCCCACCATTGTGTCCCCTGTGCCATGTTCCCCACCGATTATAACCCAGAGGGTCTCCAGTTGTCCACATAGTGGCATAACATCTTTGTCTGAATAAACAGCTTATAAAAACTGCAATTGTTTTCAGACCAACAACTGTAACTTTGTCTAGTTAATGATAAATCAACAGGGAATTGGTTGTTATAGATATCCGCTAAGAGTCCAAACCTACAGGGAGCTTGAGTACTTCTAATTCATTTAAAATCCTTGAAGAACTGAAAGAAGTAAGCACCTTGCAGGATTGTGCATCTCTTTTCTAGATGCTACCTCTACTACTGGCATCTCTTTCTCAAACTTGCTTTTTCAGTATAAAATTTCTTCCACTAGCAAAGGGGTAGGCAACCCCCGGCACAGATGCCAGAGTGTGGCATACAAAGGCATTTTGCTTGGCACATGAACCCTGCAGCAGACAGCAGGGAAGGGGCCGGGACTGCGCTTCCATAACAAGGATCAGGTCCCTTATGGCTCCCCTGCTGTCTGCCCCTGGCAAGTTGAGGTTGTGGGAGTTTTTGGCACTCTGCCCCAAATATTGCTGACCCTTGTACCAGCACCTAATTCAGGAGAGTATTTTTTAAAGGCTTCCAATTCATATCTGTCAGTCAAAATTATTTCTCCTTTGTTTGCACTAGTACTCCCCAACCTGCCAGAAGTGGTAAAGAAGAATGTTTGTTTTCAACACAAAAACAGAAATGTATAATTAAAAAAATATTATCTAAGACTCACTTTTCAACTAGTATTATTGTAGACTTAAGTTTTGTTCTACTCCAGACTTGAATCTGTAACCTCCTTTATATCTGATTTATGGGGCATAGTGTTTTTGTTTTATTTTTCCCCCCTGGGGAACATGTTTGGGTTTCCAAAGTACCCTTAGATTTTAAGTCTACAGTTTTCTGTTTCTTCCAAGCATCACTATTCGCAGCCTTATGTCATAAGAACTGTATATAGAGTCAACAATTAGTCTATGGTGAGTAAATCTCTACAGTCAGGTATCTGACTCTGGTCCATTTTCTGTTCTAGTTTCCTGCACTCAGTTCTTCTACATTTCAGCAATGCCCATTTATTACAAGCTGTGCCCGCCACTGTTCCAAAAGGCGTTCTCGGGCTGCTTTGGCTCGGGTGGCTGACTGGGTCTGCCCCAGTCCTGCGGGCGGCCCCCAGGGGGGGGGGGCACGCCCCCCCCCCGAACCCCCCCAGCCACAGCCTTATCTGGACCCTCAGTGGTGGGGTTCCCCCTCACTGTGGCCTCCAGTGCCGTCACGCCTTCGGCGGGCACTTACGGGGCTCCAACCTCCCCTATACCCCGGCCAACGCCACCTTTGATCGTGGGTCTCTCAGTCTCTTCTAGCCGACCCCGTCTGGTCTCTTCCCTCGTCCCTGACCAGCTTGACTCGATGTCTTAAGCTGGACTCCGGTCCGAGGACTGCGAGACCCGAGGTCCTGTTGCCCCTGCGGGCTTCCTTCCTGGCCTCCCTGCCGGCTCTCTCACCGGTTCCTTCACCGGCTTCCCTGCCGGCTCTTGCACCGGCGTCCCAGCCGGCTCTCCCACCAGTTCCTTCACCGGCGTCCCAGCCGGCTCTTGCACCGGCGTCCCAGCTGGCTCTTCCACCAGTTCCTTCACCGGTGT